GTCAATCCAAAGAGGCGGCGGGGTCTTGGTATTGTGACACCAAATGCTTGCACAGAATGTAGAAAAAAGCGTGCAAAGGTATCTATATACAGCATCTATTAGTTATATCGATTCAAACTTTATGGCCTTCACTCAATTTGTCAAATAGTGTCTTTGGTCAATGCTAACATTTTGGCTGGTACAGTGTGATGGCGAAACTCCATGCGCAAGATGTGCATCTCAAAAGAACGTCGAATGTGTCTACGAAGTTCCCGTGCGTCAAACGAAAGAGAATATGAGATCCGAAATCGAACACTTAAAGGCTTACCAACAACAAAGTGAACGTGTGCTTGCTGCGATCGCTTCACAAGATCAAACCGCGCAAGTAATCCATCGACTTCGACAAGGGGAAGGGTTAAAAAGCATCGCAGACAATTTACATACTCCATCGCAAATTCCATCGGCTGAGGGAGGAAATATCACGACATACACAAATTTCACCGACCATCAAGCAATCGGAAAGGCACTCAGGCCGGTTAGAGGAATTATAACGGCTCCATTCACATCATGGGGAAAGGATGGTTTGCAAGGACCTACTTCGGACTTTCAGCATGGGGAGATACAAGGAATGTGGAATCAATGGCCTGAGACTCAGAACATATCATCTGGTATGGCAGCTGGCGACGACTTGATGAATTGGCAACCCGACCCTGCTGGTTTGCCGGAAAACCATGAGCATCCGGCGATTGGAGGTACCTGGCCGGATGAAGCATCCAATCATTCTACTCCAAATAGTACAGTACTATATGCTAGAGGTCAAGGTCAAGAAACAATTCTCGGTCAAGGAATCGGTTCGTTGCGGGAAAGTAGTCCAACGGTTCCACCCGCATCATGGACCAAAGTCACGTCGGATTCTGAATTCGTAGACCATCTTATGGCGCTATATTTTTGTTGGGAATATCCCACATTTGCCTCTTTGAGCAAGGAGCATTTTCTTCATGACTATAAAACTGGCAAAACAGAGCATTGTAGTGAGCTACTAGTGAATGCGATATTGGCTCTAGGATGTCGATTCTCTGCTCATGTAAATGCAAGAACTGTCCCTCACGATAGTGGTACTGCTGGTAGTCATTTCTTCGCCGAAGCCACTCGTTTGCTTAAATTGGAAACAGACCAACATTCCTTGACAACAATTCAAGCATTGGGTCTGATGGCAATTAGAGAAGCAAGTGGAGGTCGCTCCAGTGCAAGCATTTATCTCTCGGGGCAATCACTCCGATTGGCAGTTGAGATGGGCCTTCATCTTGAAGCAGAAGGGCAACAACCTAATGAACCAGTAGAAGGATCACAAGCGGTACGACTAGCCACATTCTGGGGAGCCTTCTCTTTAGACCAGTAAGTCTGGATTCCATTTTCTCGCAATGTCATATAGGCATTGATCCCTCTATGGATGTTCTAAGAGTAAGTACTGACACATTATAGAGCCTGGTCATTGACTATTGGGCGAGTACCTCACTTCTCGCATATTACCAAGCTGAATGTGAAACCAGCAATTGTAAATTCAATTGAAGCATCTGCTTGGATCCCATATACAGATGATGGTAAGTTCTATATCATCACACCTATTTGGGACGCTCTTGCTGACACACTTAGGAGCACCACTTGAACGTAATTGTACTCAACCATCGAATATTCGAAGCGTATACGCAACTTTTTGTGAGCTTTCTGAACTAGTTCACCAATCTTTGTATCTTTTCTATGCCCCTGGCTCCAATATCAACAGCAATTCGTTGCTTCAATTATATACCAAGTATCTTCGATGGTATGACTCAATTCCTGCCGCTCTACGTTTAGGACATAACTTTACACCATCTGTATTGTTCTCACAGTAAGTATAAGTACCAGATTGGGCTGCGTGTAACAACAGTCACATGCTAACAAGCCACTTCTAGCATGTACTATCACTATGCCATTTTACTTTTATTCCGCCCATTTATCAAACTTTCTCTACTCGGATCGGGAGTTTCACCTCGTGATGTTTGTAACCAAGCTGCGGATGCAATTTCGGCTCTCACCAGCTCCTACGCTCAACTTTACACGTTAAGACGTACTCCCTCTTTCGTACCTCATTTTATTCTGGCCTCGAGTATTACTCACCTCGTAACACTAGGCAATGCAAAAACCGGCGTGGAAAAAGTCACTCAAGGAATTGCAGATCTCAGAGAGATGGCTAGCTGTCATGGATTTGCAGCTCGCGCCTGCAATATCCTTCGTCATCTGGCTAAGAAGTGGGAGATTGACGTCCCTGATGATAACCAAGAACCAATAGAACCTGATGTTTTCGATGCTCAAGCTCGTCCTTCTTCTGATTCTCTCAATCAATTTTGTACACAAGTTGATGAGGCGGATATGATGCGTGGTATTGGTGTAGCGAACGAAGAAGAAAACCCTCTCTTTTGGCCTTTCCCTATGCAGGGAAGACCATTAATGCACTATGCTGGAGATAATTTGGAAAAGTTGGGATTTGAGAGGTTGAAGGATTGAGTGGAGAGCTGAATTGGTGTTATAGATATGTAGGGAAGCTAGACTGGGCTAGGCTGGACGGACGGATACTTCATTTTGTATCAAGAAAGCCGATTGGTTGTGGAACCCGGTGGAAGAAGAAGTGAAGAACGAGCCAAATGTGTTTCATGGGTACAGTGGGTACGGTGGTAGGAATGGATGGCATGAGAATATGATACCTCGGGGCGTTTTGTCTTATTCGCGAAATTAACAAATGATGAGTGGATTGGAGAGGACCTTATGAAGATCACGTATGGGGATGAAATGACATTTATAGAACTCGGTACTTATTAATCGATTATGCGGAAGGGGATGGGATATTTACTACACTAATTTTATCCATACGTACGGCTTCATGGCTCTCTCTAATCTTTAATTTGTAGAGTAGATTTTTAATTGGAAGGATTTGATCACCCCATCTTAGGACTGGTATCTGTGATCCCGGTGATGAAGGTGTTTGTTTGTAGAGGGGATTTGGATTTGGGATATAGGATTTGAGATATAGATGTTGAATGTACGAAATCGTAGAATTACAAAACAAGAGAATATTAAAGTTTTATTCTCGGTTTTTGGAGATGAAAAAAGGGAGGAAGGAATAAGATGAATGAATGAATGAATAGATAGATAGATAATTATTTAATATTTGATTAGTAGTTAGATAGCTCATAATTATAATTATCTAAATAGATATAACGAGCACAGCATATATACCCGACACCTTAGTACATTCTCCAAGGCGAGAGTGTCGAGAACTACCGGGTACCTACCTACCTACCTACTTGTATCCTGAAATGTAGATGGAAAAGAAGATTTCCGAATCGAACCTTGTGTTTTGGACATTCGTGGCGGAAATACGATATGATGATGTAATGTGATGATTGAATGATGGTGTGGATGGTATTGGAGAATTCTCGATTTTTTTTGTAGGTGAGGTTTAACACGAAGAGATATTGTGAGAGAAGATTACTTGAACATTATGAGTTGATCCCCTCATTTTCTGGCCACCCCTGTTTTGAGCCACCTTTTCATATTAAAAATCACTTTTTTGACCTATTGATATCTCTATCGGAACGCAATATATATATATATATATAGAATTTCAATTATTTTAAGCTTATTCTGAAAATTTCAGATTTTTAGGATTTTTCTAAATAAAGATCTGAAGCTTTAAAATATCGATTTTTAAGTTTCTATAGAAATAATAGTTATATAAATTTAAGATCAATTTTAAATCTTTAATAACTTTTTAATTATAATTATAAGTAATAAAAAGAGATTAATTACTTTTTGTAAGATGTTGAATTTAAATCTATATAAAAGGGGTTTAAAAAATTTAAAAATAAATAATTATAAAGATATAAATTGAATAGGAATTAATAATTCCTGTAATTTTAAAAGTATTCTTATAAATACTTATTTATTAGAATTTTTTTGATTTTTCAAAATTTCTTAGAACTATTATACTATAAATTTATTATGAATATTAATAATTCATTTTTTTAAATTTTTAATAAAAAGTAAAACCTATATGTAATTCCTATCTAAATTAAAAAATCGATATTTTAAAGTTTCAGATCTTTATTTAGAAAAATCCTAAAAATCCTAAATTTTCAGAATAAGTTTAAAATAATCTGAATTATATATAACTATATATTAATTTTCAATAAATTCTATATACAAATAAAAAAGTTTTTTTGATCAATTTTAGTAGTGAAAGGTAGCCCAAAACAGGAGTGGCCAGAAAATGAAGGGTCCAACTTACCATTTCATATAAATCTCCATACAATTTGAAGAAAAAAAATCCTATTCATTAAACACATACACATATGCGACTGCGACTGCGACTGCAATTGCAAGTACCTATCTATGCAGGTATGCACAGCACAGCACAGCACAGCACAGTAAATCTCATTTGATCCCTCTGCCACCCCAATCACATCCATCCATCCATCCATCCATCCAAACTCAACATATCACCATCCACCTCCACCATCCACATTCAACATTGCCCCCTCTACCTTCCACCCTCACCCACACGATCCACCTCCAACAAAACCATGCTTCACACATAAACAGAAAATTCCACCCCACCAGCGCTCTCCTCTATCCAGAGCATACATATATCGCATCGAAATCGAATCGAATCGAATCGAATTTACTTGATCCAGATCAAAAAGCAAGCACAAAAAGATTTCTTTTTCCGAGATGACTATCATACATACATACATACAAGAAATAGATGGAAAGATAGACATACAGACCGACCGACCGACAAATATACTGAGATGGGTAATTTCTGCCGCTGCAACCCGAGTGTGCAAGTGCAAATGAGATATTCGCGCGCGGAAGAAAAGAGAGGGGGAAACATGAGATGGGACAGAAGTCGAGGTGAAAAAAGAGAATTAAGAAGAAGAGAAAAAGAGTCATAAATCAATCAATCAAATATTCCAATCAATGTCTCAATCCCCTAACATATCTTCATCCTCATCCTCCTCAGGCACATCTCCATTTTCCTCCGCATCTCCATCTCCCTCTCCCTCGACTTCTTCTTCATCACCACTAACATCCTCGATTAATTCTCTCTTTTTCAAATCTTCCCTCGATCCCTCTTCCGGTTCGGCATCCGCAAAAGGATCATCATCTTCTTCCTCTTCTTCATCTTCATCCTCCAACTCCAACCTAAGAGTTTCTTTCTTTGCCTGTGCAGCTGCCTCCGCTGCTGCTTGTTGAGCTTTACTCTTATGGCTTTTCTTGACCTTTTCTTTGGGCTCATCGAGATACGCAACTACTTCCTTGAAATTATGGCCCAATCTGGTTCGATTTCTCTCAATACGTTTACGTAATTTTCCCTTCATAGGTCCCGAGGCATCGATGACTTTTGCGAGGATAGCCAAGATAAGTTTTCCAGTCAATTCACAAAGTTGTTGTTCGGCCTTGAGAGTTTCACTTTGTCGTTCATTTTCTGTGATTTCCTCATCTTCGTCATCCGAGTCTTCGGGTTCATCTTCAGGAGCTTCGTCGTCATCGGGCTCTTCTAAACGTTTCTTGGCTTTTTTCGCATAGTGTTTCTCGGCATGGTCAAAGATGGAGGTTAATTCAGTTTGAGCTTCTGGGGAGATTTGTTTGAAAAGGGATTGGAGGTTCTCGGATTGGTTTTGGGGATCTTTTTGTCCAACGGCAGTAGCTTGAGGTCGTAGAGTGGCGAATAAAACGTGAAGATCGAGAAGAGTACCAGTTGCAAGTAAACGAACTGGATCAAGGGTACCTCGAGAAGATAGAGCGGCGACAAGGTTTTGATTAAAGGTTTCTTGACAATCTTTGAGTGAATCGATGTCAGCGTCTGGTATCTCTTCACCCGACGAGATTGATCTTGTCAACGAATGTACTTTCCACATGAAATAGAACATGGCCGAACGAATAGCCGATATAACAATTTCATCCTCTTGAGCATCAATGTCTGGATTCGATTCCTCAAGCTGACCTCTTGCAACAACGTCCAAAATGATGCTAATAGGAGATGGAGTTTGACTATCAACTTCGGCTTCGAGAATTTCAACACAATTTGAAATACTTGCGAGCTTTTCCACCTTTGAAAGATTGGTCGAAAGTTCTACAAGAATTGAATCTGTAAAATCTCCTCTAACAGATATTGCACCAGCTTTGTTGATATTTTGGAGTATATTTGTGGTATCCTCCCACAGTGTTTGAAGTTTGCTTTCTGTGACATCTTCAAACTCTTCATAACTTCGCGCATGTAATATTGCTGCACTTGCTTCAGTAAGAACATTCTTATCAGCGTGGCCACTGAATTGAGCAGTGATCTCGTCAAGTAATTTAGCATATCCCGTTGAGCCTTGTCGTAGTTCTTGAAAGACACCAAGGTTCAACGAATGTTCCAAACGTAAGACGGCAGTTGCAGTTTTTGGGTGGGCTCCAAATTTCTTGAGTAACCTTGGAATAATATCTGCTAAATGACGAGCTGTTGTCTCTTTGATCTCTGCTGATTCTGCTCTAGCATTTCTCTTCTTATTTTTATCTCGTGATTTTTCTGGCTCGCTGAGTTGGTTTAGATTAAGCTTGACCACTGCATTTAATGTCTCTAGCAGAATAATCTCCTCGGTCTCTTCTGGTTTGAAACATTCCTTCAATGCTCGATTGGTTCCCTTGCCTTTGGGATTAGATGAATGATCGTGAAGTAGGTAACCGGCCAAAACTTCCCATTCTTTGAGCTCCGACATCTTTTCGTATAGCGCTTGAGCCGCAAGAGTAAATCTTGACTCCCCACCGGAAAGGTCTAAATAATGTTCGATAGTCGCTTGATCCATTTGGTTTGGCATCTCATCCTCGTCAGAAATATCATAATTTTGTAGAACCTCTGCGAGACACTTGAGTTTTATCCAACTAGCACGAGGCGAATCGTAATCATCATCGTCAACTGTCAAAATTTCCTCCAAGGCATCTTCTCCGCCCAGTTGCTCAATTTTTTCATCGAAAACATCTTTAACATTCTCAACGAAAAATGCAACAACAGCTTTGCGTACTTTGGGTTCCGAGTCGAAAATGAGTTTTCCAATGACATCAATATCATCTGGTTCCAGCATTCCTCCCTTTCGAAGTATATCAACCAAATCAACTGCATTTGACCTAACAGCAGCATCCGAATCTCTTGTGGCGATTTCGATAATCCGAGGTCTAAATCGTTCGATGAATGTACCCATCCTTGAAACGTTGCTAGAATTCTTCAAAATTCTTTGGAGTTGTTTAACCACTTCGAGTCGCATACTCGAAGCCGAATCTGTAAGCATCCATCCCAGGTATCGTAAATATTGCCCATCGAACCAATAACCAGGTAGAGTATGGATCCAAAGGCCCAGTGCTTCGATACATTCTGTCCTGATTTTCGGGTCAACATCTCGATATCTGTGAACCCAAATTGTATCGAAAATATCCTTCAATCGTTCTTCTAAAATCTCCTTCTTGCCTTCTCCTTCTCGAACCTTCCTCTCAAAGTCTGCCAGTCTACCTTTGTTGGGTCTTTTGTTTTTCTTTTCTCCTTCGAGTTGACGTAATGTTCTTGCAGCAATTTCGATTTGTTCCTTCGCGACTTGACAGGTAGAAGTGGCAATAGTTAAAGCAACGGCAGTCGCAGTATGTCTGAAAGGTCGTAGGTTCGAAGACGACATAGAAGCCATCCAATGAAATATGCTTTCCATTAATGGTTCGTCCTCATCATAAAGTGCTCCAGAGGCATTCATGGTTTTATTTAAAGAGTCGAAGAAATCGAGGAAAGAGGTACGAAAGGCATGGCTATTCTTCACTCGTGAGATTAATGGATAATCGGATATATTTTGCTACCACATAAATCAGCATAGTTAAACCCTAGAAATGTGCCAAAACTTACTGCTTGGTGTTCGTCTTGAAGGTCTGCAATCTTCCCATTGACATTATCTGCATCGTTAACATCATCCTCGTTGATAACAAGATCACACCCAGCACTCTTCAATACGAAATTTATCAGTTCTGCCACAGCCCCGGGACCATTTTGTGCATATTTTTCCAAAAAGCTAGAAACAATCTCATCGGATGGTCGCCCGCTCGTATAAACATCAGCTACAAAAGAAGTCAGTATAACCTAATAACAGTATCAGAATTGCTCATGGCGCATACCATAAAGTCCATCAGCATCCTCATCTGCTATCACGACCGTCTTGGCTTTCTTGGGTCGATTTGGCAATCTTACAGCAGGCGCTCTAGCATGTGAAGCTGTGCCATTTATTTTCGGTTTCTTTGCTGCAGGCTTCTTGGAGGTTTTGGCTTTCCTTCGAGCTTCTCTTAATTCTTCTTCCCCCGCACTTTCTTCCTCTAATTCATCGTCCTCATCCTCTTCTTCCACTTCTACTTCTTCTTCCTCTGACGCGTCATCTTCTCCTTCTTCATCGGATCTCTTCCTTTTGGCGTTTGTCGAACGAATTGCAGATGATGGTAAATCTGGAACGAATTTCTCGGGTGCTTTTACGGCGCGTCCTGATTTCCTTCTACCAGATACGACGGGTGTGCTTGACACATCATTTTCGATCTCCATGAGTGGCAATCGTTGAGTATTCATCAGCGCATCAACTGCGCATTTGGTTGAAATTCAAAGAATGATTTGGGGTGATATGGCGCGTTTGGTTGTAAGTTGTGATTTAATGTTGACGTATCGCGAGAATTGAATGAATATCGCGTTTGAACGTTTTGATTGGATTTAGCGCCACTCAGCTTTTTTAAGGCTTACAACGCTTAATTTCAAGCATCTTCAGCATGTAAGTACGGTTACAGCCTGTCTCCATGTGTGTAGGTATGTATGTATGTATCCAGCTCCCGCTTTCTTTACCTTCCTCGCCTTGCCTTGTCTTGTCTTATCTTCTCTCCACTTCAATGGGGTAAATATTATGAGAAATTATTTATCGAAAAGATAATAATAAATTTATAAGTTAGTTACTCTCGCCGTCTCTCACTCTGTACAGTTTGAAGGATGCTTTGCTTGATACGAGTACAAAGTCAAAACTATCCAAAATTATCCATTCACCAGCTCTACCAGTTTTACCAGTATAAAAATGATACGATAACAATATAACTACTGCTTTCTCTCTACCTTTTATCCTTCAACAGAGCTTTACTTATTAAGCTCTCAATATGCTATCTCCTTTCCCCCCTTCATCGTCTGCTCCAGGCGAAGGGCATTTGGTGGTTCACTTACTACCTCATTCAATCTCCGCTTTATCAAGAATGACTTTTCAATACCCACTAAAATTGATATCTCCATCTCCTTCAGCTGAACAAAAGAGCGTCTTGGTGTTTCTCTTGACATATGGTGGAGGTCTTGTCGGTGGGGATCAAGTTCATCTCAAGATAGACGTCAACCCAAATGCAAAGTTGAGTATCGTCACACAAGGTCATACCAAGATCTTCAAATCGCCAACACGTGATGTTATCACACGTCAACATTTACAAGTTACCATTGAGGATGGTGCTTCCGTTTGTCTATTACCCGATCCAGTTCAACCTTTCGCGGAGAGTGTATATGAACAATCACAAACGTTCAATCTCAAAGAAGGTGGATCTCTTTGTTTATTAGATTGGGTTTCAGCTGGGAGAACTGCAAGAGGGGAAAATTGGGATTTACGAGCATGGAGTGGGAGAAACGAAATTTGGTCGATAGGAAAGGATATGAAGAAGAGACTCTTGCTAAGAGATAATGTCTTGTTAGAAGGAGATGAAGTAACCGCCCAAGAGAAATTGTTACGGCATAAAATGCGCGGAAATGGTATATTTGGTACATTGATCCTGAAAGGTCCTCTAGCCGAGAAGTTATCTGCATTTTTCTTGTCTGAGTTTGCTGCACTTCCCAGGATTGGTGCTAGAGATTTCCGTTCTGATGACAGGAGAGAGAGAGATAAAGAGATCATTCTATCGAGAGAAGAATCATGGAGACTTCGACGACTTCGGCAAGAGAAGAAAGAAGGGATTCTTTGGTCTGCTGCCAAAGTGAGAGGATGTACAGTGGTGAAATTTGGGGCACCAACTGTTGAAAGTGGTCGGGTATGGATTGGCGGTATGATCAAAGAAGAATGTAGTATATCCGAGATCTTTGGAGAAGATTCGTTGATGTGTGTCCGTGAATGAATAGAGTGGACTTGAATTGGACGAGGATTTAACGCAACCGGGATTCTGACTGATATATCACGCCCATATGTACCGAAAGACTTCAAATGGGTGGAAACGTTGGAAGCACTTGTCCGATGTATGACATGGCGAGAAGATACGAGGAAGTTCTTACCGCACAAACTCGAGCTCTGTCTCCAAATGAGCCCCGTTGAATCAGTCCTGTATCTGCTACCTTTGAAACGTTTTGGAAGTTGGAACTCAGGGGATACATGGTGGATTTGTTATGAACTTCGTTTGAACGTTGAAGAGATATCATATCTGGTAACAATAGTGACCAGCCATCTAGATACACAATACAAAGTTGATACTATGATGGGGGATTGTTAATGCAAATCTAACCAAGCATCATAGCCCTCCTTACCAGCCATTACATTTCTCCGCATGTTTTTTAAGCATAGCACATCTGTGAAGCTTGAAATGAGACAGAAGTTGGGTGCCTGGGTACAACCAGTCTCTCATTGCAAGGAACAAAGCAATATAAAACGTTTTGGTCACTGCACCCGGCTGGATGATTTAAGGAAGGCAACGCTATCCGAGCATTGATCCATTTCCATCCGAAGCTCATGTTGTGAAACACCAATCGAACCTCTAGGACATTGACTGTGACCAAATGAAGCGTGGTTCATCGCTAAGCCATGCCGACATGTGACCGACACTGTCTGTTTTGCCGATAATAATTCATTTGCATTGATTTCAGACCAAACTAAACACAAAACAATTGCTAGACAAAAAGGATGAGCCGCAAAGAATTTTGCAAAGGATGGTAATGTAGTATCAAATAGGATCCCCCGACGTACCAGTGCAGCGCGGTCCTTGGGCCTTGACACAATTTTAAAAACAAATTAACTTCTTTTGAGTGTTTGCAACTTGATGAGATTCAGGTTTTGAAAGCTTCGACCAGTTGTGAGAGGTCCACCGGTGGTCTGGTGTTTGAATGGCGAAAAGATCTACAATACGCAATTACATGATTGCTTCAAGGGTCCCAAGTATCAGATACCAGCCACGGCCGGCAAAGCACTATTTTTTTCAACACAAACTCACAGAGTCATGGATTAATTCCAGGCCTTTCTCCATGCTCCATCTAAACTCCACATTGACCGCCATTGGAATTACTGATTGGTCGATGGGGAACATTCAACAAGCTTAATTCGACATCAGCACTATTCTGGAAGCTTATTGTGCTGGAAAGGGGGCAATACGACGGGCCGCCTCCGGTATCCAGAGTCCAGTTCAAAGCAACACCTCGTCTAACAAAATTCAAATCCTGCACTCTAGGTAACATGACTCTTGAGAGTTGTGGTGTGCCGCGTGCAATAATGTTAGCGATGATTCTGACAAGTTTTGATCGTTAAGCGTGTAAACTTGTCAAGGTATGACTTCAAAACTTGCAGTCCTTTCTCCAGTCTTTGCTTCTATTGGCATTGGTCTAGTGACAATCTTTCAAACCAGCATTCTGTTTTGAACGTCTCAAATGAAATCAGCCTTAGCCATATGAGTTTTCACCCCTTCAGTTGAGTGTGGCTTTGGAAACGTGCACAGACAAGACCATATGAAGAAACCTGACCCTGTTTGACTACATTTGCCAAGAGGCTTACAAATTCCGATGCGAAATGTCGAGGCGAAACCATTTCATGTTTCGATATTCCTCAAGATTCAAATCATCAGTCAAACATTATCGTACTTCCTGGATACCTTCTCCGCAATCTGTCTCGTAGGTCCACTGCCGGTCCATTTTACCTGGATGTTAGGACTTCAATATTACAATGGCAAAGAGTTTAGACCTTTTTTCTAGTGTGAATTATCCATCATCCGGTCGTGGCAATCACTCCACTATTTTGCTACTCTGTTGACAAAATGGTTAAACCTTTGATTGTTTGTATCCACAATATGTCGGATAAGCTCTGTGCATCAGGAACGGAGGTTGAGCACAGACTTCGCATCGCTTCCCATTGTCCTCCTTCTCTTCGCATTGAGTCGAGTATGGAACTTTGGACTGCTCTTGGCAAGTTTCCCATGGGTTCTATCTCCCGTAGTATGGAAATTGGTCTGATCATAGTGCTTTGGAGTCGATTTGCCTGTGATCGAGAAACTATTAAAGGAACCGAATCTCCCTCCGTTTACAATTCTCTCCTCAGCATCAACAGTTTTTCAGTTCTTTCAATCTTCAATCTATCTTTCATTCTTCAGCCGCATACTATTGACTAGTATCCCGCTTCATACAATCTTATATCTTTAATTTTTCAATAACCCTTTAAAAACCAACCAACCAACCCAAATCAGCAAATATGCGTTATACTATCGCCGTCGCCGCTATCATCCCTCTCGTTGCCGCCCATGGCAAGATCGCAGTCATGGTTAGTAATCTATCTCCTTCCTTCTCATCTCATGATTCTTCTTTCATCATCTCCACTTCCAATTATTCATACTAACTCATTATTTCAGACTGGTGACATGGGAGGAAACACCACTGGTCTCGGTATCCAAGGTGCCGCTATCCCTGGTGCCGGAACCAACAAGCAAACTGAGGTCGACACAACTGTCTTCAACAGCAAGAACGCCGCTACCGATGGTCTTGGAAAGACAAAGGCTGGTGCCAACACCATGGCTGACATGACTGCTGTCATGGCTGCCTCCGGTTCCACCCTTCCTCAAGTTTCTGATGGAGGTCAGCTCAGTGGAACTATCCACATCGTCACCACTGATGGAGCTGGACCATACTCTGCCATCGTCGACCCAACTGGTACCGGTGCCTTCTCTCAAGGTACTCAAGCCAAGGTTACCACTCAAGTACCAGGTACCAAGGGTAACATCGCTGCACCCAAGCAACGTTCCCTCGTCATGAGATCCCTTGTCAACATGGGTATCGTCAAGCGTGCCAAGAACGTCAACGAGGACTACCCCATCGCCGTCTCCATGCCAGCAGGCATGTCCTGCACTGGATCCGTCGGTGGACAAGAGAATGTCTGCTTGGTCAAGCTTGCTAACCCATCGGGCGCTGGTCCTTTCGGTGGTGTCGCCGCTTTCCAAATGGCTGGTGCCTCCACTGCCGGTGCTGCCGGTAATGCTACCGCAGCTACCACCAAGAGATCTGTCGGTGCCAAGTTCCGTGCTTAGATTGTTCGCAAGAATCATTTAGGATTTTGGTAGTTGGGATCGGGGGGTTCATACCAGGAGTAGGAAATTGGGGATAGGATGGAGCGGTGGAGAACTTTTCATTTGTTACATATTGGGGTTGTCATTGGTTGTTGGAAAAAAAGAAAGAGATATACTACTCTTACATTTTCATATTGTATCTAGTATAGCCACTCCTTTATAAACTTAATGTTGATGCTCTTGCTGGTCAAAAAAACTTCTAGTCTTCTTTTGCAAATTGATTGTGAATTGTGAATCGTGATGATT